CTCGCCTGTACTGCGAAGCTGATTCAGAGCCAGACATGTGGATCTGAAGCATCCCAGCCGTTAGGGATGAATTCGCTGTCCAGTTGTTCTCACTTCTGGAATACGAGTGCCTTCCTCCAAAGTGACCTAGTGGAGGAGTTGGCTGTGCAAGGAAGTTTTGTGCAGTCCAGAGTACAGTGGAGACGTTCCTCTGTACTGACTGCTGATGTGGGTACTTGTTTCCTGTGTTGAAGGCAAAACAGGGGATCCCATGCTTGTGTGTTCACATAAAGGAGTTCAATGTTGCTATTCTGCCCTGAACTCACACCCTGTGGCACTGCTCAGTAGCTTCCCCACCTGAACGAAGCATTTGATTAAGATAAGTAGAAGTAATCTGCCCTTATTCCAAAACTTGGATGGTCCGTGCAGTGAGATATTCAGGAATAGCTGTGTAAACAAATGCTTGCAAAATTATGGTAAAAAATCCCACTGTGCCACTTTTAAGCTTGTCCATTCCTCCAGGATCAGTTGAATCCTTCCCTGAATTTGACCACATTCACCTCAAATGGCTTCAGTCAGCATCATTCAAAGCACATATTTTTGCTATTCCAACATGGAGCTTCGGTCACCGTGGCAGGTGACAACGTTTGTTTGGAATGAGTGGGATATTTTATAGTCATCGGGAGACAAAGCTCAATGCGTTGAAGAGTTTATGGTCTAATCTTTGGACACCCACTGGTAGGCGCAACACCATTGGAACAGTACAGAGAAATGAAGCCCGGTGTGGGGAGGAGTCTCACCAAAAAGCAGAAGAGCTGCAGCTGCCAGGAACAACTTGCCAAAAGCAGTGTGTGTCCATCCTGATGTCCCTTTGCAAACAGGAGGGGATCAGCCAGCTGCCTGGGTGTGGAAATACCTGACAACCCCCATCTCTTTTGCCTTTTGGATGTTTGTGTCTGGTTGCTGTCTTCCAGCCTTTGACCCCTGCATCATGGCCTCTACTCTAAAAGTCATCTTCCTGTTTCTTTGGTTGCTTCAGTGTGGAGGTAAACCCGTGGGTTTTTATTCCTTTTGTTTACTCTCACGTTTGTTCATATTAGAGTGTTTCCAGCTGCTATCTTTTGCTAATTTCCAGAGATCCCCTCTAGGAATTGGCATGCTGCTGCTATTTCTGTCTTTTAAGCATTTCAAAGCAGAGAGAGAGAATCCTCAGGAAAGGAGGAACATGGGAGAAGGGTTAGATAACCTAAATAAAATGGTTTGGCTTTTTCCCTGGTATGTTCTTCTCAAGCTAGGGGCCCCTGGGATACTGTAAAAAGATGGATCTCTCTTCTGTTTTGTTACAGCAGTGCTTAGCCAGGTCTTGCATAGAAACTATATTCATGTGTGTTCTGCTGGGTAGAGATCAGGAGAAGAATGATGAATGGTTTTGGAAAATAAGGCCCAGAAGAGACCACTCGGGTTATCACTCCTACAGTGCCTGCAGGATTTTCTGTCACCGTCTTTCCATAATATTGTATCTAGTGTCCACAGGACTGTGTGCTCACAACGAATTGTGCATGTCCCTTAGGACCGGACTGTATCTCAGTTGCTTTTACAGCTAAGAACCTTTTTCTAGTGATGAGATCTAAGCATTTCCTTACTCTCTGGCTATATCATCTGTAGAGGATTTTCCTTAATGGACGTTACTTCCCAACAGTCCTTTCTGGACAGTGGCCATGCTCTCCCTGCATTATTGCCCCCCACAATCCTTCCTCAGTGCTCAGCATTCAGCTGTGCTATGGCTGTGTTGCCTTTTCCAACACCGAGTCCCACTGTGCAGAGGTGACGCTGCTGTTGCGATGCAGCATCAGTGCATGATGACAGGAAAGCAAGCCTGGCTGTGCTCAGGGACAGCTTTAATGCCTTGTTATGAGCCTGCTTATAAATGCAGAACTCCAGGGAATCCCATCAAAAGCATGAATGGAAAAGCCTGCCTATCCCCTACTTTCTCTCTCTACTCCTTCTTCCTCCTGCCTCTTATTGTCATGTCTCTGAAAGAATCCTTCATTTTGTAAGAAGGCTTGTGTGTAAGTATCCAGTTCCTTTTTTTAAAGACAACAATAGTTTGCAGGGGCCTCCTCTTAGGTTGCTTTATATGTAGTGTCATGTCGGCTGTTAAACAAACAGATTCTGAGACTGCTTGATGTTAAACCCAGATTTGTCTGGGAAGCCAAATGGGTCCTGCACCCTGGGCTCCTTACTAGTCCGTGGCTCATTCTTAGTATTTTATTTTTTATTAAACAAAACAGGGAGTGAACTATAGTGTGGTTTCCCACCTGTGCTTATTCATTCTCTCTTGTAACTCCCAACGTCGTTGTCTACAGAATTGCAGTGATAGATCACTTTCAACAGCCCTGTCTGTGTAAGGAGGAAGCGTATGAAGGGCATGATCTCCCATCTCTCTGCCTACGATACTGTCACATCCAGGTACTTAAGATCTGCAGTCTTCTGCAGATAGTTCCCGTATCTAGCATTGTCTTGTCTTATAGCAGTAAAAGTTTGGAGTGATTAAGCTGTGTCCTATTTCTCACGGCCCTTGTGCCGGCCCCTGTACAGAACATGTAATTTCCTTCCTCACTCATGCTTCAGAAATATACAGTCCCACTGGCAACACCTGCTTTGCCTACAGTACCTTTGCTGGCGCAGCCATCACATGGCCACACAGAGATGCCCAAGCAGAGGTTTGTAACTTGGGAGTTTCAGGAGAGGCCCAGCTAGCGTTTGTCTTGGAAAATTGCTTTCTATTCATCTGCTGTAAATACAGTCTCACATCACTGCAAAATCAGTTCACTTCCTGCTTCATTTCCTGTCTTTCTGCATGCTGGCGTTGTACAGAGGAGCTCACAAGGGAAAAGGGGAAGCCTGTGAATGCAACAGGCTATCGCATATCACACAGCAATTACCTAAGAGATGTGGCAGATCACACAGGGCACGTGCTCTGAATCACTCCATCTCTGACAAGGGCCAACGCTGTGTGCTACGGGTGCGCTTCCTGACATACAGTTGTTTTCAGTGCAATCCTGTCTTTGGGGCAGCAGACTGCTCCTGACTTCAAGTGATGTTAGGTGACTGCTAACAATCATTACCTTTACAGGAGCAAGTGTCGATGTACAGCAGAAGCCTCCAATCCAAGTTGCACTGCTTGAGGAAGGAATATCCATCCCCTGTACAGTCATCTTCCCTTACATGCCAAAATACACCACATTTTCAATCTTCTATTACTGGATTAATTCACTGGGCCAGAAAACATCCATTTACAGTAAGTTGGAAAGCGTAACCATCCCTCCTGGAGAAGAGCATAAGACTGCTACTGTATCTTACAAACACATAATCAGGCCCCTTGAAAACACCTCTTCTACTGGCACATACTACTGCAACGTCAAATGGAATGACACCCAGAAGATGGGAAATGGAGTGTTTGTCCTTGCTAGAGGTAAGCGAACAACCAGAAAGAAAAGGTAGGTGGTTAAAAATCACCTGGGTCTGGCTATGAAAAGATGATCTTTTCTTTTCCTCTACCCAAACAGGCTACAGAGTCAGGTGGGAATAATACTTTATGCCAAATTCTTAATGCCATCAGAGTTGAATGCACTTCGCATAGGTGACCTGTGCTGCTGTTCCCAGTGTGCAGATGGGACATTAAGTTGCAGTGATTTTTATCTGCCCTGCTGCAGCCCCCTGGGAACAGCAGGCTTAAAGCCAGGGTCTAAGCAGGGAGCCTGGGCACAGAGTCAGAGCATGCTTTTAGGTGTCATTGTTCAGGAGACAGTGTGCTTTGGCCTTTAGCAGTATGACAGAGATGATTGAACACAAGGTCAGTGGTTACAGTGCTTGCCATAATCAGACCTACAGGTTAGGCACTCCCTATTGGGGGCTCCAAACACATCAGGGACTCACTGTAATCCCTCCCCCTTTCCCATGTGGTACAAGAGGTCAGTTGTTCTATTAATGCACAGACATGCATGCCGCTGACTGGCTGGATTTGCACTACTGAATGCAATGCTGGGTATAGAAAACTTCTTAGAAAGTGTAAAGGCAAAGAACCGTGATGAAATGGCTTTGCTGCACTGGTCAGAGGATGCCTGCAGTACCCACCCTGCTAGTTTGTGTGGCCTGTGTGCTTTCCACCATCTGTCTTTCTGCCCCTATCACTAAAGACCCTAGCCGGCCTCTACCTACCACCTGTCTTGGCTCTCATAGTAATGTCACCTCCCTCTAACCGATATGAAGTGCAGCTGCTCATATCCTGTCTCCTTTGTGTGATTCTTCGGCTGCACCCTGCTCTCTGTTCAGTCAGACTGAAGGTTCTCAAGGGTGTGCGCATCTGCGCTACCGTATTCCGCACTGCTTCTCTATTTTAGTTCTCTCAAGACTTTCTCCAAGGTTAAAGATACAGCAGGATTGTAACTTCCACTCACACTGTGAATCTTTTGCCTTCTTTCTTACAGGTACCGGGTACGTAGAGACCTCTTATGGGTGGGAAGTCCTCATTACCTTTACCGTTCTTCTTGCTGCATTGAGCATAGCCGCAACAGCTCTGCTTCTGTGGAAAAGAAAGGCAAGTTATAATCAAATAAAAAGCAATACCTGACATGACCCATTCTAGGAATTTATTTCATTTGCTTCTAACTTGGCTGGATTGGAAGTCCCTGTGCTGAAATTTTCCATGTTGAGTGTCTGCCTCAGGTTTATTTTCTTTCTTTTTTTTTAAGTTGAGTCTTTCTGAGAAAAAAAGATTATAGGAGAGACAAAATGGGTCATTGATTTGTCCATTAAAGAAATTCTGGTAATCATTTGGACTCCAGCATGCTCTGCTTTAGAGCAAGGATCTGACACAGGGCAAGAAGTCACACTAGCAGTTGTGCTGACCCTGAGAATATTCAAGGAGATGTAGTCTGGTGAGGGGTTTTTTGGAAAATTGCAGTTTGTGCCTGCTCAGTCGCAGCTCTTGCCAATTTAGCAGCTCACTTGTCTAAAGGAGCCCCTGTGAGGCTGTTTCCACATGGTGCCACTTAGACAGGTAATGTCCTGTGCACTCAAGTGAGTCTGTTGCAGCCCTGGTGGCAGGAGGAGGGCAGGACTTCCCCAGCTTCTAATCCTCTTTCATGATGGTGACTTCTCTGGTTCAAGGGCATAACCTGATTGCAAGGAGACTGTGCAGATGTGCTCTGGGCCACGGCTCAGGCACTATAGAAGAAAACAATCTGCAGCGTGGAGGGGATGGGACCAGAGCCTTGGGCTTTTGTTTGGCAGAGAAAACATTAAGAGGCAGAGTGAGAGGGGAAGGTCTGGACAAGGATGCCAAGGAAGCCTCTATGGAAGTCCCAATTAACTTGGGGAAAAAAAAAAAAAGAGAGAGACAAGGACCTGAAGAGCAACTTGCTTTAGTTGACACTGCTTTGAACAGATGGGAATAGAACAAGACAATCTCCAAAGGCACCTTCCAACAGCAGCGATTCTGTGAGGCTGGAAAGAGCCTTGGGAGGGAAATTGGGACTGGAATCTGGAGCAAGGAAGCACTGGAGCTTGGAGGAGGGTGTTAGCACTGGACTGCCAGGGCCCCTCAGGTGAGCAGACTAGTAGCACAGGTTGGGACCAGCTGAGTAAGGAAGTGGAAGCTGCGATGAGTAGCTGAGGGCAAAAGGAAAACCAGGAGTGGGGAAGAAAGGATATAGAGAGGAAGAGAAGAAAAGGCAAAAGCAGGACTGAAGATCTGCTTGAGATAGGGGCCCTGTGGAAAAAACTCGTGGAATTGTGATTCTGGAATTCCTGTTGCTCGGGGAAAACCTTTTGCTTCTAGTACTGCCACCCTCAGGCATTTAAATAACATCCTCTGCATTCTTCAGAGATCTCCAGGCTGACTTAAAAACCCCTAGTGTTTTTCAGAATGGAATTTGGAGATTGTTGTTTTCTAGGTAGAGTATGTCCCACATTTACTCTTTCAAACTGCCCTCTGCCACCACGACAGCAGACCCTGCATGCGCTCTTACGTGGAGGCTGTGCTACTGGTACAGTCCTATGACTCTAAGGAGCATCAGGCTTCTGCACACACAGCCAGACATCAAGAAGTTGAAAACAGAATGGCAGCAGTTGGCAGACCTGTTAATCTCGTGAGACTTCCCTTGCAGGCAGTCTGATGGAGGGGGAAGGGGTGTGAGCAGCAGAGTGACTAGGCTGGAGTCTCTGTTTGCCTAGACAGCGTCTCCATGGGGATGATGAGGGAGGCACTGTCACGACTTGCCAATTGGCATCTCTAGGTTTTGAGGTGGGCCAGCAAGTGTCAGACCTGCGGGCTCTCGTTGGGGCCCAAAGAGATCTTGCAGACATTACATTTGCCCTCCTGCAGAACACAGCCCATATTTCTCACTACAGCTTGCTCAGACCTGCTGGTTTAAAAATGTTTATCTTTAAGAGAAGCTATTTAGCATCCTCCTTAGTTACTAATGGACTGGAAAGCAGTTCATCGTTTTCATGTGATGTGAATATAATCATCCCACTTCTTTCTGAATTAGAACAGAGATACTTAGCAAAGCCTTCTGCCTTTTCTGCCTCCTGTCTTGCTTGCTGAGCAGGGCTAACCCTTATCTGTGCATGGATGAAACGTGCTCAAGGAGAACTCATCTGATACAAGAAATGTTTCAGAGGAAGAGACTTTCTTCCCTTAACCGCATGCTGGACTTGTACGTTAGTGTATCACTGACTATGTCATCATTAATGGTCATCTGGTGATCTTCTCTAGACTGTGTATTAGCAAAAGCTTCCTGGCCAAATCCTCATAGAAGTCATTGCATTTTGCCTCTTTGACATTCCCCTGCACACTTTGAACAGGGTCCTGCTTTACTCTCTGTCCTACAGCATTGTAGTGTGCTGTTAAATACTTGAACCCTCCATCCAGCTAAGATTCAGTGTCAGAAGTGATTTCTAAATACCACAGAGACCAGTTCTCATTTCCACTGCTCCAGTGTAAGTTACCAGACCGTATAAGCCTGTGGTGAAGAAAAGGACCAGGCCACGTGTTGCAGACTGCCAGCACTCTTTGCTTTGGAAGCAGACAGGGAGTATGCAGGCAGCTGGTTTCAACATGATATTGGAGTTCAATTTATCTTTGGGGAGATGGTGTTTGCTCCACGTGTGTCATTTGGTGTCTTGTCCTGAGCAGGTGTTGTGCCCTAAAAGGAACCAGCTAAATATCCTGAGACAGAAGGTGGAAACGCAGCCCCCTTTAGCTGTCCCACCACCACCATCTCCTGTCTATGATGTGAGTACCAGAATTGCCCTCCATCCCTTCTGTTCGCATCATGGTACAGCCCTTCCTTTCCCTGCTCTGCCGTGGTACAGACAGCACCAATATCATTATATGAAACATAAGCAATACTTGTGTACCGGCTTGGTAGTGGTGACCCTGTGCTCTGCGCTGCTTAACTCCTCTCAGGACTGTGAATGTTGTGTGTCTCCATCCTGGTCCCACTCGTCCTCCCCAGTGCCAAAGCCTTGCACTGTGCCCTGCTGGGCAGCACCCTTCCCTCTGCCAGCCGTGTGGCAGCACAGAGCAGCAGGCTTGGAGCCAGAGGGGGTTCCTGGTGGTAGAGGAAGGTCTTCCAGGAGGCAGGAAGGAAGAGGGAATCTCAGCACCACTTTGTACTGCAGAGTGTCTCAAGGACATGCCATTCCCAGGTGGAGAATGATGGCTCAGGAAAGGGGCAGAGAGATGTGCTTCCCGCAACAACCACAGTTGTTTAGAGCTCCTGCTGTGACACCTTAATTGGTTTCAGTGTCACAGACCACTGCAGTACTGGGCAGGCTCTCAGGGAGAAAAGGGCAGGAAGAAAGTGAAGGGAGACTCTTTTTTTGGAGCATCTCCCATTTGCATTGTGCAGGGTTTCCTTTTCTATTCCCCAGAGTGGGGAACACCAACTGCTCCCACACCTCGAGGCCAGCAGGCTCAGCGTCATAGGTAATAGGATTGGAGTGTCTCTCCTGAAATGTCAAGCCCAGACCTCAGCTACCTCAAGTAACCATGACCCCTAATCCCATTTGGAACCCATCCAGCTCCATTTAAAATGGATTCTTTTTTCTCCTGTTACTCCCATGGGAGGGCTGCTTCACTACGAAGGGAAGGGAGGGGTGTTTTTTTTCCCCACTCCTGTGATCTGTGGGACAAACAAGGAGGAATAAAATGAAAGTGAGTAGAAGGATATTTCCTGAATATTAGGAACCCTTTCTGACTGCAGGGCCTGTAAGGGCTGGAAACGTCTCTCCGAGGAAAACCTGTGAGCTCTGCTGCATTAATCATTTAAACTAAACAAAGCAAAGCTCTGGAGAATGTACTACAGAGAGGAGCAAAGCTCTGCCAAGGAGGCAGGAGACCTGACTGGGGGTAGATATGAACAAGAGGATGGGCCTGCCCCTTTCTCATTCTCACTTCACAGGCAGGGGGGGAGGGCACCATTTTGTGGCCCTTTAATTTTTGGAGTAGAGGTTTTAAAGAAACCACTATGTATTGTATGTGATATGTTTATTCTGGGCAAAAAGCAATGCTTTGGGTAGAGGAGGTTGCAGGTTATAAACCTTTTCATTTGTATCAAGTAATTTATTTTTAATTCAGGCTTATAAAAATCCGAATGGGTAGTTTCCTGTTGAAGTGGATGATTTCTGCAAGGAGACAAAAAAAAATCAAATCCATTTCTCGCTCAGTCGGCCTCGTCATGCATCCTTAGCTCCATCTTAATTACATGTTTCATCATGTTGTTCTGTTCAGGAGGCCCCGCGAAGGCTAATCCAGCAAGCCAGCAGAGGCAGCCTTAGGCACAGGCAGTGCCTGGAGCTGGCTGAGCCTCTGTGCTTGCCACAGCCCCATGGACCTGGCCCAGGCAGCCTTCCCCGAGGCCCGTTAACCACACAGCAGCTGTGCGGGGCTCTCAGCCAGCGTGTGTGCAGGGCAGGCGCTCAGCCCTCTTTGGCAGAGCTGCAAGCAGCCTGAACCACCTCCTGCCTCTGCGTGCCGCGGGGTATGAGCCCGCACGATGGAGGGTCCTTTATCGAGGAGCAGCTGCTGGGGGGTGACTCGTTCAGACATGAAGCAGCAGCTCCAGCCACACACATGGCACATGGTGAGAGCAGCGGGGAGCATGCGGGAGAGAGGGCGAGAGCCCTGGGGTGGACACCCTGTGCTGGATGGGCCCTCAGGACACGGGAGGGGAGTGGGAAGTCAACAAACCTTATTTCCTTTGAAAGATGACTCTGGTGCTCCACTGCCAAACTGTGTTGTGACTCTGCATGGTGTAAACCCAGCTCTGCACACTGCGTTTGAAACTAGGCGTGTTATGAAAACCTGCTGCTGTTAAATCGGGTGTTGAACGCTGCTTAATTCCTAGGGAGGGCAGAAATCTGTCCTCAGAACTGCGGTAAACTAAGGCAAGGAAATGAAAAGGACACGTAAAAAGTAGCTCCAAGTGATGAGATAAAGAAGGAGGTCAGTGATTAGGGAATGGAACAGGAGGCCAGCATGTGCCAGATGTGCTATCTGTGGGGGAAAGCAAGAGGTCAGACTGGAAACAAGTCACATCAGGGATCCACAGTGTGCTTGCAGACCTGGAACTGGGAGCAGGAGCAACAGGACATCAGCAGCGCTGGACATCAAAGCAAAGGCTTAGAATGGGCTGGTGCAGCTCATGACATGCTCTGTGTTATCCTGCACAGCAGCAAGGCTCAGCCCTGGTGTGGGAAGAGTCCTAGCGCACCTTCTGCAAAGCCATCCTGCTGGTATCTCTAGGAGCAAATGCCTTCCCCACTGGCTCTTCCAGGTGCCACTGTTCACCTTGTACTCCCTGGGGGCAGGTGTGTGCAGTGAAAAGCAGCAGGTAGCAAAAAGCCCTGACAATAAGAGGGACACTGGGCACCCTCTTTGTTCCCACTACACTGCCAGTTGTTCCTTGACCTCTTTGTCCTCCTGCATCCCTAGAGCAGCTCTACCTCACTGCACTGCCCAGACTCAAACCTGTATTTTCCTCTGTCTTCCAGCTCAGCTGCCTCGTTAACGAGTAGCTTGGAAATAACAATCCAAGGGACTTGCTTCATCCACTTTACACTTCAAACACTCTTTTTAGAGCAGCAAACAGAACTCCTGCAGTGCAGGCGGGTTCCAGAGCACAGGAGCTTTTCATGGTGCGAGGGAGACAAGGAGGCTGCTCGGGGATGGGCAGGCATCTGCCAGCGGGGAGGAGAGAGGCCTGTGTGCCTCCACTGTGACAGTAGCAGGTGGTCAGCGACCAAGGAAAAGTAATTAATTTGCAAATGGTGACTGGAGACACCAGCTTTCCAACGGGCCAGCAAAGGACCAGCACTGTCAACAGCCTCCATGGGAAGAGGGCTCGTGGAGGGAGGGAATCTTTTTTGGAGGTTAAACACCAAAAGGATCCTTCTTGCTTGTGAGTGGCACCAGACTAGAGCAGTGAAAAAGGCTGCCTGGTGTCCTGCCAAGGGGACACAGTGCTAGGCTGCTGGGAGCGCAGCATGTGGGACAAGGTCTTCGCTGCGAGCATCACAAAGAGAATTGAAAATGAGGATGGGGAAATGGGATTTTCTGTGTGTGCGAGTGTACATGTGAATAGTTGGGAATGTCTGTGGAGGCAAGCGGGTTGTTGGGAGTGGGAAGCAGACAGGTGAAAGAATTTGGCTGTTCCCAGAGGAGGAGTGTGAATGGGAGAGCAGTGTGGTGCTCCATTCTCTGTGCCCCCCTCCTGTCTGAGTGCTTGTTTGTTCCAAGCCCCTCTTGCAAATGATGCTCCTCTATCATCTGGCCCTGTTCAAACCTCCATCCTGCTGGCCATGATCCCGGAAGATGCTGAGTGTTTTCAACCCTGGCTGAAATGATGAGGCTTCAGTTGATTGGCAGCCCCAGAATCAAGCCTCCATGTTTTGCTCATCCTCTTTGCTGCGTTGCAGGGCTTCTCGCTCCCTTTGCAGTCTCTCCACTAATACCATCTGCCCCTCTTGCGGCCGGAGCTCCTCCCATCTTCCTGTTGCCAGAGAAACAGCCACCTTGGCAACCTGCTGTCATCCTTGAAACACACATGGAAAAGTCCTCCTGATTGTTATGTTTGATCCTTCAGGCAGATCTGGAACATCACTCAAACTGACACGCATCTCCTGTGACATGATTACCTGGGGGACCAGGGGGTGCATCTGCATGCAGGGCATGTGTATGTTTGTGTAGCTGTGTGGGACCAGGGGCATGTTTGAGGGCCTGGGAGTGTATTGATTTTTATTATTATTATTCTTTGCTCACTCTAAGAAGAAAAGAGAGATCCAGCTTGGGAAAAAAACCCCAGGCAATAAATAGGAATCTTGCCTGAGGTAGTGTTTCCCATTTTTTGACAGCCCCTGTGCTGCAGGACCTTCAGCCTTGCCCCTCTTCTTACCTTTGTGTGCCCAGAATAGCCATGAGCAAGAGCTTGTGGGTGTCAGGCACCTAAACAGTTCTGGGTGCAGAGCATTGGCCACTACCTGTGGTCCGCATGGTGCACAATATCCTTCCATGGCGCAGACGGGTCTTTATTCTGCTTTCTGGGACAATTTGAAGCGAAAAGAGGTGGTAGCATTGTCATTCGTCTCCACTGCCTTACACAGGGTAAGTAACAGCAAAGCCTGCCCCTGCGAGCCTGAAAAAGGAAGATGATGCAGCTGCACTGTAGAGCTTTCAGGGAAGAAGAATTTTCTGTTTGCCCAAGTTTAGGTCAGGAACTTCAACATTTTGGAGATGGCAGGAGTTCCTAAAAAATGTCAGGCATGAGATGGGGAACAACCCAGTGGGCCATTAATTGTCTTAAACCTAAGTAATTTATTTGACCCTTAATCTCTTCTCTCTTCCTCTGCAGTGCCTGGATTTGCAGCAAGTTGATGTCTATTCTATCCTCAAGGACAATACAAACAACCCATCACCCAGAAAAAGTCCTCCAGGGAAGGTAAGGACTGGGTCCCTGCTCTTGGAGAGTTCCCTTGTGCCCTGGGCATATGGGGAAAGAAACCCCACAGAGTCACTACGGCCCTAGCAGGCCCACTGAATGGGGAAAATGGGATGTGGCATCCACTGACCAGCTGGGCTGCACATGTACCCCATTTTCCCCCTTCCGGCAGAACCCTCGCTCCTGCAGCTCTACCAGTTCTGGCAGTGCCGGTTTCAAGCAGATGCTTTGCTGTATGACGTATGCTGAAAGGCATTGAGGGGTTTGGCATTGCTGCTCTGAACGGGATGCATGTTCACAGAGAGTTGGCCAGATGCTGGTCTCCACTATTGTCCTTCCCAGGTTATTTAGGCAGCTGAGAAGTCCTCAGGGGTAGAGGAATCTGTGCACGGGGGGGCAGACTCTGGATGCTGCTTCGCTTTCACTGTCATTAAACACCAGAGAGTCATTTCATGGTGGCAGAATATAAGACGGTCTGAACAGAGGCTGGGCTGATACAGTCTCTGTCAGCTCTGGGGCTCAGGAAAAGGCAGTGTGGGCACGTTTTGGGCTCAGATCTTCTTGCTTGGCTGGGAGTAACGAGTTAGAGACAAGGAACTAAAACCACTCATAGAGAAAATATCTGCAATATGCAGGTGCAGATCAGTTGTGAGCCACATGAAGCAGACTAGAGGCCCACACAGCCCTCTACCCTGCCTTTGGCAGGCATCAGCTGTTTCACAGGGGCAAAACTTGCATCGGGCACCCCAGGGAACACTTCCTTCCTGTCCTCAGAACTTTGTTGTTCTTTTTCCCTCCAGACCTCTTATCTGTGAAAAAAATACCTCCATTCTTCTAATATTGGAAAGTGTTCCTGAAAAACGTCTCCTGCTTCCTCTCACTGGTGTCCTGTTGGGGAGAGTTCCCCAGGTTGCCTATGCAGTGTGGAGCATGGTGCCAGCTTCAGTTGGCACCATCCCTCTGTTTCATGAAAGACAGTATTTTCCAGTGTTTGAGACATTTTCACAAGTCCCATATTTTAGGAAACAGTGGTCTAGAATCAAGCAGCCTCCTCTGTGGCAGAGCTACTTGCCATGTGGTCTGGTCCCAAGGGCACTGGCCTCCTGCAGTTACTGCTGTGACACAACAGTGGTTGGTGGTAGCAAAGACAGTGGCAGGTATCTGATCATTGAGGGGAAGGATGGGCTGTTTTATGTAGGCTTTCTTATACCCCAGCGCATCATACGCACTGGAAAAGACAGTGTCCCTGGTTTTGTGCTCCTGCTGCATGTTGAACTAGTTGGATAGGGAGAGCAGTAGGTCCCAATCCCTTTTTCCTGTCCTGTTTATTCTTCTGTATACCTTTCTCAGCTGCTCCCTTTGGAATGATTCAGTCTGGATGATGAGATGCAGTGTGCGTGGGTTTTTCTCCCTAGCGTGGAGCTGTCTAGGCTGTGCTGAATCGTTTGTGTGTGGTCCACACCACTCAACTGCTGCTTTCGGGAGCAGCGGGTCTGTAGAACAGAGCGGGAGCAAAGCAAAAGCAAAAAAGCATCTGAGTGTGAGTGGGTCTGGTGCTGGGAGTCTCAGCCAGGGTGAGGTAAAGGTCAAAGCAGAAATGGCAGAAACAAAGGAGAAGAAAGCAAAGAGAGGGGATGGGATGAGGTCTCATGCCAAGAGCAGACACCACCAAGTGTCCTGAGTTCTTGTGCTCATCACAAGGAAGTGTGAGTGGCAGTGCCCTGTGATCTCTGCACAGAAGAATTTGACTGCACTTTCCAGTACTGGTGCAAGCACCTTCACCAGCTTTCTTCTCAGTCATCCTGGGCTGTGACCATCTGGCTGTGCCAGAATATAACAGGGTGTTTTCCTTAAGAGTGAGACAACGTGTCTGGCCTGTGAGCAGAAGCTGGGATGGCTGAACGGTGGCTGACCCTGCTGCGGAGAGTCCAGGCCAGCCCTTGCTGAGGGATGCTGTGTGTGGAGAGGGAGCTGTAAAGGGAAGCAGGGCACAGAGCCCCTGCAACAAGACCATTTGCATGCTGTTGTGCCGGACTGTCAGCCAGCCTGGGTGGCGAGGGGTTAATCCCACATGCTTTGGAGGTGCCTGGAGTCAGCATTTTGTAAAACGTTTCCCTTTGGAGGTGGCAACAGGGAAAATGCTACTGTAGGTAGGGCTTCCTTCACCCGGTGGCATTTCAGCTACTTGCTGTGTAACCTTGCTTACAGCAGGCCTGTGCCACACAGCGCTTAAAATATCAGTCTGTCAGCGCCTTGTCTACACAAGGAACGGTCGTGAGGAATAGACTCAACTGTTGAAGAAACAGGATTGAGGAGGTCAGGGAATTCCTCCTTCACAGAATCCAAAGTGATTTATTTTTTTACCAAGTCCAATTTCCCTCCCCTCCCTGTCTGACAGCTTTTTGGGGGAAGAGTGACAAGTAAAGGAGGCATCTTTATCCCCTGGGCTGGATTAGTCACGTTTGTCTCTGGTGGAGCAACATTTCTCACTGTAGTAGCTTCCATTTCAGCAGACCACTTAGAGCCATTTCTAACAGAACAAATGTCAGGGTCTGCCTATTAAGAATTAATTCATCATCTTTTGAATAATTTTCCCCCATTTCTTTTTTCTCCTTTTAATCATTCTGCAGACACCTAAGAAGCAAGCAACTCTAGAAGAATCCTGTGATACACTGTATGAGAATATCTAACAGGGAAAATATGACCCTGTGTGGACCAGACATCTTTCTGTACGGCAGAATTACTCTCTTACATCCCCAGTTCTCTGCAGAGATCCACACTGACTTCAGGGCACAACCACGAGGGACTTGTGACCCCCTGGCTCCTTCTAAACTGCCCTTCATTAACAAGATAATGCATCTGTTCAAATCCCACCGGGCTCAGTCTGCATTCATGCAGCAGAGCTATTTTGCAGCGAAGCCGTTTGATGCAAAAGAAAAGCTGCTTTTGTCAAGCACTCGCATGTATCTTAGAAATGGTGCGGATGGCATCTGTGCGGGTTTCTCTCACCTGGAATGACTGAAATACTTAAGTCTCGATCCTCTGTAAATGATGGGACAATCCAGGGACCTCCCTGCTTGCTGGCTTGATCTTCCAATCCTGACCTGCAGCAGTCCATCTGATCCTGCATCTATGACTTTCCTGACGCAGTCATCAGGCCTTCATGCATAGTTTAACCAAGATCCAAGCATTCACCTGCCCATTTTTCCTTTCTCAGGAACCCCACAGTGAAACATGCTTTCTCATAATCTGCTAATCCCATCAAGTAGTCACAGATGCCTGCTGTGACCATACTCAGCCGACTCAAATCAGTGCCTCCGAGTAAATGCTTTCCCCTCAGCAATAACAGCAGTATATGGTGAGGACTGGATGCACAGAGAGAGATAAAGATGGAGAGAAGGAAAACAGAGAAAATAACCCTGCCTGGCAGAAAATACTCCTGTCTCAGCAGCAGTGCCCTTTCCGGAACAAGGAAGAAGAACAAGGAGGTGGGAATCTGCGGAAACTCCCTTGCTGGGGCTGCATAAGCCAAGTGGGTCTGGGGCCAGGTTTCAGCTCAGAGAAGTTCAAGCCGATCTGCTCAATTTCCTGTTCCTTTTGGCAGTGGGCATTGTTATCACTTGGGATTTTGAGCCTCTGTGAGAGCAGGCATGGTACCTCTGCCCCACCAAAGCCAATAGGTTTGCCTTTGTTTTAGTTGGCCACTACTTCCCAGCAAGGGTATAAGGCTCCTTTACTCTGACCCTATAGGTTATTTGCCCAGGTAGACCAGTTCTGAAACCCAGAGCGACTGGAGGGAGGCCCTAGAGGTGAATTTTCTGTCCAAGCTTTTCTCTTTCCTGTCAGCTGGAATTTGCCTACCATTTGTGCTGATGCATATTCTAGTTCTGATAGGGAAGAGGTTACATGAAATATCCATATAACACGATCAAACCAGTGGATCAAAAAGCTGAGGCTGTTTTATCTCAGATTAAAAAAACAACAACAGAAAAACAACCAAACAAAACCAACCCAAAATAAGAATATGCAGCATAACTTGAGAGAAATCACAGAAACCTCTTTAAAGAAGAAGATCAAATTAAAATTGAGCTCCAGGGTCATAGGACCCTCTCTAGTTGAAGATAATGTTGCTATGCATCAGAGATAGAGGCTATGGAAAATGTCTCCGGGGCCTCCAGCCTTCCTATACTATGTTTAAAGAGATAATCCGCTTACTGCTTTGCTCTTTTTATTAGAAGAGATTTCAAACATGCAATTTGGACTTTCTTTAACCACAGGAAAATGCTTTTTCTCTTCCCAGTGTTGAGGAATTCATTTCAGAAAGAGCAATGAATAGACAGTGTGGCTTATTAGACCTGTTTTCCATTTGTTAAGTGATCATGACAATTACAAATAAATATTTTGGAAGTAAAGAATTTTAGTGTTTCCTAGTATGACCAGAAAACATTTGTGTTCACAGAAGAATTTGAAGAGGATTGTGCAGGTATTACAATTCCTTTCTTTAACAAATTTGAAGAAATGATGAGATGAATTATAAATATGTTGCAGCATGGCAATAAAATATTCAGCAGAAGCTGGTGGAAAATAGATAAAAAGTGAAAACTTTCAAAACAATCCTGCTTAGTTTTTGTGTTTTGCTTTTTCAATTTTACAAATGCTAAAAATACTGGGTGGTACTGGAAATTTCCTGGCAAGGATCTCACTTTGCAATGAATTGATTTGTCTTGTCTTTCTGTTATGTTTTTAAATAGCGTGTTTCTTACACTTATGCCTGAAAAATTCTATATATTAAGTAGCTGAAGCTGTTTAAAATGAAATATGAGAGGAAGAATGGTATTTGGAACAGAAAAGGCTATTCTGGAAGAACCAGAGCTAAAGTACTGGAAGAATCACACCAGGTTCTGATCAATTAAGTGAAAAAGTAAAAATCTCCAAGAGACACTGAGGATTTGGGCTGTGCTCCAAAGCTTGCCAAGGTCAGGGGGAGTTGCTGTGTTGATTTCAATGGGTTTTGGATTGGCCCTGCAAGGGTAAAAGGCTGTTGCATGAGAAAAAGGAAGTTCTGAAGCTATGTAGCGACAAGCTAATACTGTTTCTTTAGCACTGTGTGCCCCTGGCAGCCACAGTTGCATCGGAGTGTGTGAGAGAGAAAGGTATAAAGCAGAAGACTCTGAGAGGAGGTATGCTTTTAAATGGTATGGAGTTTTCCAAGGAGGTATGAGGAAATGCCTTCAGGCACAGATAGGAGAGACTAGGAAATATAATTTATATAATATTGGTATAGCTACTTTGTAGCAGAGATTTGTTCAGGAGAAAGGCAGCCATTTGGTCTCTTTGTCTTACCTGGCTCTATGGGCCATGAGAATAGATGCAGAAAATGAATATTTCTAGCAAGAGGAAAGGAGTTCATGTTTAAGTATTGAGCAATTAAACAAAAAACAACAACAACAAAAAAAGAAGGATGGGCTCCCCCAGCTCCCCAAAGGTGAGAAGTGATGTCTAGCTGCTTGTGTTCACTCTACATGTTTGCTTTAAAGCGAATGTTGAGATTCCTCTTAAAATCTGTGTCCCTAGTCTTGTCAGTTCCACTTGCTTCCCCCAGCATGGTGCTGTTGTGCACAGAGCATGCTCACAGGTTACGGTGGTATAATCTTTGATTCCAAAGTGTTGGATTATCCTTTTGTATGACCAGATTGCACGGAAGTGGAGACCCACTGTCTAAGTAAGTAGTGGTGCGAGGTGGAAGTGAGCTGCCCTGACACCTTCTAAAGGAGGTGCCATGCTAGCACCAGGGTCCTTTGCCATCTCCACCAGCTGTGAGCCTTTTTGGTCCTAAGAAATGGAGTATCTCACTGTGATCATCCTCAGTTGTTGTCTTAACTGGTATTGCTGCAAAGGGCCTTGGTAACACTGAGGTCACCCAGTCCCTTTAAAAAACTCCTTCACAATGCTTTACAGCAAATTCTAATTTGAGAAGTCGAAAACTGGGGTACATGATTGGTACTTTGGTTTGTTGATTTCATCCTTTTCTGCAGACGACAAGCTCTTGCATGGGTACTGTTCTGTTGTATGAAACATGTCAACTGTATTTTGCCTTTATCTGTAGATAAGAAAGACCTTGTTGTGGTGGATAATGACAATGAAATGTGTGTCCAAGGTGTAGTCCAAGGCGTTCTTCATTGATTCTGACTTCTACTCCTTTTTCCTTCTCAGGGGTGTCACTAGTGGAAATCACCTCTAAATACCTGGCTAGGGCTGGCTCTTTATTGAGGGAGGTGCTTGACTGAACAGCATCCAAGTGAAATGGTTACCACTGCTCTGGTTATCACTGCTGTGGTTTGCACTACTGTCCCACCCAGCAGTGCCCTAAGGGTGAATAAAGTCTGCACCAAGGGCAGGGGTGTCTTCTTCC